CAGAAACCCAGGAGGGTTCCTATGTAGCCGACAAGAGGTAGAATCCACATTTTCTTTTGCGTTGCGTTGTGTTTGGGCGCAAGCAATGGTTTGAGTTGGAGCTCACATGTTGGAAGGAGGGGAGATTGTTATCTACAAGAGGTTGAAAAGGAGAGTGTTTTGGACACGGTTTTAACTACCAATCAGTAGCTCCATACGTCGGCAAATAGAGGCTCCGATTCCGATGGTGGTGGGGGTAACGCTAAGAAGTTGAGCTTATCGATAGCCACGAAGAAGTAAATTTTGCTCAACACTGGGAAATCGGCGATAAGGTGCAGCTCCAGGCTTCGCGACCCATTCATTTATTACAATTCCTTTTCCGAAGCTGGAGATCTGGAAATTCCTCGAAAGTCATTTGACTTACAGCCTTCACCATGTCTCGTCCTGAAGATACCCTGTATGCCACCACAACCCCGCCATCATGCCCCTCAAGCTCACAGTAACAGTGCCGCCGACGTCCACTATGACGATACCGAAGCGCGCAAGTACACAACAAGCTCTCGAATCCAAAACATTCAGGCCTCCATGACACGAAGGGCCCTGGAACTCCTCGATCTCAAGTCACCATCTCTCATTCTCGACGTCGGCTGCGGCAGTGGTCTCTCCGGCGAGATCCTCTCCTCAGTCGAGCCCGAAGAAGGCGGTCCTCACACATGGATCGGAATGGACGTATCACCATCAATGCTGGACATTGCACTACAGAGAGATGTAGAGGGTGATCTCATGCTAGCAGACATCGGCCAAGGCGTACCCTTCCGAGCTGGTACTTTCGACGCGGCGATCAGCATCTCCGCCATCCAATGGCTTTGCAGCGCCGAAACAAGCGATACATCACCTTTCGGCCGCCTAACCCGCTTCTTCAACGGTCTCTATGCATCCCTCAAGCGCGGCGGTCGCGCAGTCTGTCAATTCTACCCCAAGAACGACGAGCAGCGCCACATGATCACCCAAGCCGCAGTAAAAGCCGGTTTTGGCGCCGGTATGCTCGAAGACGACCCGGGCACCAAGAACCAGAAGCTGTACCTCGTGCTTACCGTGGGAGGCGGTGATGTTCAGAAGAATGGCGGTGATATCACTGGTGTTGTTGAGGGTATGGAGGGTGTGGATGTTGAGGATGCGAGAAGACAGATTAAAGCACATGCTCCGAATATGTCGAAGGGTAGTAAGGCGTGGATTGTTAAGAAGAAGGAGCAGATGGAGCGGAAGGGAAAGATTGTCAAGGCGACGTCGAAGTACACTGGACGAAAGCGACGGATACAGTTTTAGGCGTGTGGGCTGGTTTGGGCATTGTACGGCGTTGGTGGGAAAATCTTTCTTTCTAGACCTTTCAATTTGACACGGATACCCTTTGAAGCATACAGCTCAATCATTTTGGACCTCGCAAGGGCACCCTTTGAAGCCTACATCAAGAGTGTTCTGCTTCTCGAGCTGCACTCGTCTTAGACAGCTGGCCAGAATGCCTCCTCTGCCTCCAGAACATCATGCCACTTCCCTTCAACCCTCTTAAACAGCTTCTCCTTAACGTCCTCACCCTTCTCCTCGACAAGCCTGTTTACAGCATCATCAATGATCTTTCCAAGCTCATCCACAAACTCAACAAACTCCTGACACGTCCAGTTGTTGATAAACTCCTTCCTCACAGCCCCACCATCCGCATCATTACTCCCATCATCATCAGACAGCTGCGCCTTAGCCCACGACCAAGCATCAAGGTAACACTTTTCCGTTCCCCAGTAAATCACCGCAGCTTCAAGCCAAGGAAGTTCTTCCTTCTCGTTAGGAGATACAGAAGCGTAGAGAGCTTCCCAGCGTCGAAGACCTTCTAGTTTGGTGCTTGAGTCCACCCGACCATCTTGCCCAGTCTCGAGATTCACGTTGATGCCGTATTCTGCTGCAGTGTTGATAAAGAACTTTTCTTCTCGGCGGATGTTGACGAGAGCTGCGACGATCCAGTCTAGAAGCTTTGTTGTAGCTCCGGGATCAGCATTGGGTTGCACGGTATCAGGGTATTCGAGAAAGCTGAGAAGACGACCAAGACCACGGCAGTAGCTGTGGATGTAGAGACGATCGTTTGCAAGCCAGCGGCCAAGGAGCTCTTTTGATGCCTTTCCATGACCTGCGAGCTTGAGGAATTCAGACTGGGTAGCTCGCTTGTAAGCTTGCTCGTCTGAGACGAGAAGCTGGTGGGTTAGGGAGTAGGACATGATAATGATTAATGAGGTATTTCCTCAGGTTCTTGATGCGGAGATAGCTTCATGGTCTGACAAAAGCTTGGCAGGAATTATGTCATTGTGAGAGGATCGGTACAAAGTTGTTCCAGTGCAGGATGTTGGTACTACAGTCCAAGTCGAGTCGAGTCCGATGCGAGATCTGTATGAGGCTAGGAATGTACGATCTTTGGTGTTTGTGAGATTAGGTTATTTTGTGTATTGTTGCGCCTTGTGAGACATTGCTCTGAACGTTAATTGTGCTGTGACGGGAAATTTTCTCGAGTCAATTGAGGTGCAAAATACTTCTTAGGATGAAGACCGTATGAGATGACTTACATGCTCATTGATGGCTACTGTGCATCTCAACCTCTCATTAGTTCTCTCGTCAGCAATGATAATCAACTTCTCGGGCCGTGTACTCGGCTGCCCGGCTCGTCAAGTAACTAGACTGCCCTCAAAATTGAGAGTAGCCTATAAGAAGCATCCATTCTCATTCAGATATATCGATGCTATTCTTGGGAACGGACTCTCGGACTCTCGGAACCTCCAAGAATGTGAAAACCCAGCATCGACGGAACATTCATATCCCCGGAGTTAGGATCGCAGTTAAATAATCTTCAACGCCATGTAATTTCCTCCCCAACCTCATCCATGCCAACCATGTGTCCAAATCGTCCATCTCTTCCACCACCAAAAGCTTGGCAATGTTCTATAACCCGCTAATCGCTCACAAATTGACATCCAGCACGATCAACTTCCTGGTTCATTCTGCTTCAACCGTTGCGTGATCGCCGTTATCCCCGTTCACGTTATTTTTTCTGCTGCGTCCCTTAATCTGGGGAACGAACGGCAACGAAGCTTTGCCGACAGGGATTATGCAGCCCACTTGGTTTAATTAATGATGGCATCCCCCACAATAAGGGGCTTGTGTTAATTGTCAGCAGACGAGGAAGAAGCAAGCAAGCAAAATTGATATTGCGTATGTTTGAGATTCTGGAATGGCCAGTTTCAGCTTGAGTTGTTGTCTTTTGGTCTATGCTTGTTGTGCGGTGAGTTTCACGGCGCATTGATGGAGGAGGTGAAGCATTGAGATACTAAGTCGAGGGTTTAGTCGTAAACTATTGATAGAAATGTCGATCAGGTACACGTAACATGAGGTGACAAGACCAGTCTAGATCTCGTATCAAAACCTCTGAGGCCCCGATTTCGAGAGGGTCAATTTCAGTGCTCACGAGATGCACCCCTGATTTACAGGGACCCCAGCAGCATCGAGGGGGGCTGAGCCTCTGAAACATGGAGCTCTCGGAAGCATGTCATTCAACTCAAGGCGCATCGTCAGTCTTGCATTGGCCTTTTAATGAATGCCTCTTGCCCTTGGATGCAATAAACACCCCTTCCCTCTTTTTTCCTAGGTTTTGCTCCCCTCTTTAGCAGACTTGACTTGGCTCTTGATTGTTTCTTTTATTTTGCTCAGAATAAACAAACTGAATCGTTAATTTAATTTTTCTATCGCTCACTCACTCACTCACTCACTTACTCTTTATCATGATTCTCGACAAGGAATTAGGCGCCCTTGCGTCTCGCGCTGAGGGAATGGGTCTCACGCGGGTGCTCCCAAGAGGAGCCAAGGAAACATGTCACGATGATCAATACTCGGATACCTGCGAAAAGCCCAATATCAGCACAGGCGAGATCATGCTGATTCTCTTTATCGCCAGGTATCTTATACCCCATATCTCGCATATCGCTTAATCTTGTCTTGGCTGACCTCATTCCGCAGCGCCGTTGTGGCCCTTGGCGTTATCGCCATGCTATGCTTCCTCCATCGCCGTCGCAAGCGCCTGGACCAACTCGAAGACCCGAAGGATTTCCAAGAACTCGACGACTACGGCATTGCACCGATCAAGCAAAAACCAGCAAATATGCCTCGAGCACCACCGCCGACGTATGAGCGATCGCAGGACAAGAAGGAGATGAATACGGCTTCGCCTGCGACTACGAATGAGAGTTGGGGACGGCAGAGGGACTCGACTGATTCGTTAACGCCGTCGCTTCGACAGGCGATGGGGGTGACGCCCCGAGATACATTGGCCAATCACTAGGGAGGCATTCCACTGTGGATGGTGGGCGGATGAGCTACTGCAGGTGTCGATCGGTTATGCATAATCGACCTGAGGTGCCGGGTGTTTCAGAGATGCAGCTACGCGATAGTCGCCGATTTACAGAGGGGGTAAACAAAGATTGGCATGTCTTTACGATGGCGTTTAGGGGATCAATTGGTATGGACGGCGTACGGGCTTTTTGCAGGATGGGCGTTCTTTTGGTTGGGTTTGGATTACCTTGCGCATGACTAGCGACAGTTCCTTGACAATTCGAGAATATTTTGATACTTGGTTGCTGGTGATGCATCTGTGATGGGGAAGGAATTGTGACATTCTCGCTCTGTTCCAAGAAACTCACTACGAACATGTGTGACGAGACGCTTTAGACGAAGAGGGTCTTCGTATGTGTGACCTCTATTCAGTTTCATTCAGTTCAGCTGATCACGCGCCTGAAGTGATGAGGCGCTGTGTAACTCTGTTGTCAGCACACTTTGAAAACGGCTGTGATAAACTCGTAGGATTTAGACCTTGTGTGCCCTAATATACGTAGGTCTCGCGAGCCACAAAGTTAGTACATACGAATTATAAAAACAGTCTTCTGCCATCCAAAGCAAACAAGTTCTTCATTATTCAAACTTGTCTGTCAGCGATGGCAACCGCCAACACAGCGTCTCCTGTGAGACGTTACAACTTGAGGAGTCAGACACCACGGCATTTACAAATCTTCAACCCTCCTCTGGAACCATGCGGCGATTTTCACTTGTTTGCACGTTTTCCGGCTGATATCCGCTGGCTTGTTTGGCAACATTCTCTCAGTCACGAGCGATGGATCGATATCACCCTGGATCGTTTCGATTACACTGATCTTGCACATGAAGTGCGAGAGCTGGCAAATTCTGAAGAGTACAATATAGTGTTGAGTCATCGTTGGAGGACTAGTAAACTCTTTCGAACCACGACTGAGTCACGTACGGCTGCTTTGGCTTTCTACCGTGTTCAACTACCGTGTTGGTACAAGTCGAAAGAAAAGGTTATGTCAAGGGGAAGACTGTATGTTTGTCCTGAATTGGACCACTTCTTCTTCCAGGGCGTCAGCTTTGAGTATTTCGAGCGCTTTGCGCATGACGTCTGGGCTTATGACCCTCATCATATTGGTTTGATCAACATTGCGTTGTCAGCCACATTTCCAAGCTCCTGTTTCGAGAGATCGATTATACCGAATTATGGGCCTTCTCTCCTTCGACAAGGCTTATCCAGGATCGAACGTCTGACAATGATGAATTATGGGGGCTCAAAAAGACTATCACGCCAAAGTCGTCACCCTTCTTACCAAATGAATCATGTCGTTCCCATCAGGAGTGGTGTTCAGAGCTTCGACAGGCTGCCATATGACCCTCGATTGCATGGTGAAGATCTGAAGCAAGTATTTCTAGGAGACATTTATCCTCAAACGTCGTTCAATCGGTGGTTTAAACTACTCTCAACCTCAATGGTACGTCACGATCACAAGGTCATCTACCAGTTTGGCAGTTGTCGTGGAAATAAAACCGGCCATGGGTACAGGGACCCTGTTATACACGACCGCAAATCTGCTGTTGAATGGATTCGGCAGGACACTGACGAGCTCCAACAATGGGTTGAGAGTCTCCATCAGTCACCAGACCTCAGAGGTCAAGTAGAGAATGAGATGGCAAGAGTGTTCGAAGAATCACCACATCCAGTCATTGGATTCTGGCTATTCCCCATGGAGAGTGTCTTTATTCCAGAGGATCCTAATATCCATGGTACAGATGCTTCATTGGCAGGTTTAACGACAGTTGACATGTCACAACACATACCGGAGTTGTGCTTGGCAAATATCTTTTGAGAATGACAAACATGCAAGCTTTGTGGACGGATCAATTTTCACGGCAGGTGACAGTCTGCTATGATTCATACTGAAGAAACACTCTTAGGCTTGTGAATCACTGTCGAGCTTGAAGACCACCTACATAAAGGATCTTCACTTACACTTTCAGCTCCATTCTTTCTTCTTCCTCCATCTCACCTTTCTAACATCACTTCACCGCTTTTACAATCACGGAAACAACAGCTATTCCAGTCATGTCTGGTCAATTCGCCACGGCCCAACAGGCCGCCAACGCACATACCAACAGCGACGAAGTTCTTATGGATCAGTACGGCACCGGCTCCGGGGCCGATGTTCTCTACACGGTTGGCCTAGCTACTTGCGTTAGAGTCGCAGTAACAGGCACATACCCTGCTGGGTCCCGCGGCGGCAATGATCGCTTCCTCGCACACATCTCCGAGGACGAGCCTCACGCAGCCCTTCAGGGGCTCATCAACAGCGTCAATGAAGCGAAGCGCAACGGAATGAGAATCGACAAGGCAAGAGTTGTGGTGGGCGATTACTCCGACAATTCTGACTTTGACTCCAACAACGAGAGCGACCAGGAAAACAACGAAGAGCAGAACAAATTCACGGCCAAAGTCGGTGCCAGTATCCTTGAGTTGGTCGGTGGAAGTGGCAGTGGGAAGCTCAAACGCAAGACCCATGCCGAAGAAAAGGTCTATGAACTCAGAATTGATGGCCAGAAGCGGATTCTGTTCAAGTGGGAGGATGGAGCAGGATGGGAGAGCTCCGATTCGGAAGAGGATTAAGGACACAGAATTCTTCTAAACTTAGGGTCAACTACTCAGTAGTTTACCTCATTAATTCAAAATTCTTCTAAAGCTTCTGATGATTGTTCTCAATTAACCTAAACTCTTCTAAGTTTATAGACATTTAGCATTACTTGTAGTTCTCAAGTATGGAGTAGCCATGATTTATGGAGAATTTGGCTTGATGATAAATACTGTAACTAAGGTACTTCAATCTTCATCTAGTATCCTGTCCACTAGCAGCACGTCTAATAAGCATAAAACAACGTAGCCTCGGAATCTGTCTGCCTGATCTTCCTGTTCTGCCTGACCAGCATCCACCGCATAAGCCAGACTCCAGCAATACAAGCTACAGCAAAACCAGCACTGCTTGAGAGCGGCAGCACATACCGCGGTGCGTCAGATTTGGGCCAGAGATACTGCATGAGTTAGCGATTTGCACCAAGAACAGGAGATATAGCACTTACAGGAGTCCAGATCAGACTCAGTGTCGCACTGACGTTGGCGAGAGCTAGAGCAGAAGCCTTCTTCTCTCTCGTCTGTCCACATGTATTTCCGACCCAAGCAAGAAGAATAGAATTGACACCATAGGTACCAATAGTGAAGACACACATGGCAAAGTATCTCGCTCCAACGTTCATGGTAGCGCAAGCTAAGACGAAACCAAAGGTAGCGACAATCTTGGAGATGGTGATGTGCCAGGTACTCTCGTTGAAGTGACCAGAAGACTTTGCCCAAAGAATAGAGAGAGCACCGGCGATCAAGAAAGGGGGGCAAGTGAGGACTAGAGTAACTGTGGTGTTGAAACCGAGAGTGTTGACGATGGTAGGGAAGAAGTTCTTGAAGCCGTTGGTCGCAAGGTGAAGATGCTGGAGAACGATAAAGACCCAGACTTTCGGGTCGACGATGGCTTCGCGCAGACCACTCCATGGATTGCCATCGCCCTTCTGGCCGACTGTATCTCTTAAAACTCGATCATGCGCAAGTTGACGCTGCTCAGGTGTGAGCCATCTCGTCGTCAACGGTTCATCAGGAAGAGTGAAGCACGCCACGATAGCCACAACAAACGTAACCGCGCCCTGAAGAATGAACAACCATCGCCAGCCCTTAATCCCAGTCAATCCATCCATACCCTCAAAAACACCCGCCGCAATCAAGCCCGCAAAAGCAGAAGCCAGCACATTACCAGAGTAAAGAATACTAATCCTCGTCGCCAATTCCTTCCTGGTATAAAACGTCGACAGCATGTACAGCGCACCAGGGTAATAAGGAGCCTCCACGATACCGAGGAAGAAGCGTGTGAGAAGAGCGCCGGTGTAGTTTTGGGCTACGGCGGTGAGGGAACTGACGACGGCCCATGCCATCATGAAACCGCCCATGTACCATGATGGCCTGACGCGGGTGATTATCATGTTGCTGGGGATTTGGCCGAGGACGTAGCCGACGAAGAGGATTGAGACGGAGGTGTTGTACTGGGAGCCTTGGAGGTTGAGATCTTCTTCGAAGCCGTTTAGACGGGCGAGCGTGATGGCATTGCGGTCGAGGTAGTTGAGCCAGTACATCAGCCAAAGAGTGGGCTAATAGGTCAGTCAGAGAAGAGTTCAGCAAGTGAAGAGAAGACTTACCATGATCCATTTATCGAGCTTCTTGACGAGTTTGATCTCCTCGGGATCGCTCTTCGCCACAGCACCAGAGTAATCACCATAACCCTTCTTATCAAGAACTTCAGCAGAGTACTCCTCATGAGCAGCGTTTTGCTTCTCAGCATCAAGGGTCTCAACGCCCATCTTGTGATCTTGGGATGTCATGATGGTCAACTCTCATACAGACTATCTCAGAGAACTTATGAAAGAGAATGATGCTTGATGCGAAAAAGCAGGGGAATGATGCGGTATTTGAACTTATTCTCTGGACCTGGGTTGTTCCCCGCATACCCCAGATTTTGGATATCCGGAGGTGGGATTGTTGAGGGGATCACCAAGAGGCGAGGAGCGAAAATATCCTGGTTTCGGGGACGGGGCCGATGGCCGAGTGTGGTTTTGCCAAGACGCCATTTTGGGGGAGCTAGATTGTTATGGAGGAGGATGTCTAGTGTTGAGTCAAGATTCTTGTGTAAGTGGGTGATGATATGGAGGATAACGATATCCGGGGCAGCATTTGATGGATCAACTACGTTTTTTAGAGTCTAACTAATAACTCAAAAAGTCTAGATTAACGAGGGAGTAGAATTTCTCTCTGTTATACGAGCGGAAATAAACATCCAGACTCATAGTCACATCACGATGCATCCATCATCATCAACGTTGCAGTCCCAACCCCACGAGTCAGGATTAAGGTAACAATTAAGCTTAGTTCCCCCAATCCCACCCCATCAAGTCACCTAAAATAAAACCCGCATTCACTAACCGAAAGACCCATAACTTGTCCTTCTCAAGCGGGGTCTCTCTCCATCATCATCTCGGCCTCGGTCTCCGCTGCCATGCCATGCCTTCAAACGCCTGCGACAGATGTCACCGCCGCAAAGTCCGCTGCGACAAGATCCAACCTCAATGCGGGCCTTGCAAACGTGCTGATGTCGCTTGTGAATATGCTGTTAGTGAACATCAGTTGAGGAGGAGGAATGTTCAGAAGTTGGAGAGGAGGATTAGGGAGTTGATGGATTGTAATGAGGGTTTGACGCAGCAGTTGAGACGGTCTGAGGAGGTTACCAGACGATCTGAGGATGTGGCTATACGGTCTGAGGGGGCGAGGAGATCTGAAGATGTTGAGAGAGGTGAGGCGTCGGTACATGATAGTCCTGGGGATGGAGAGGTGGCTGAGGAGGTTATTCAGATGAGTCTCATCGCAGGCGGAGGCCATCACTTCGTCGGTTCAACAAGCGGTCTTCTCCTCGCCAACCTCCTCCAATCCCGCCCTCAACCATCCTCATCCTTCACCACATCATGGAAACCAAACTCCCTCCCCGGCCTACCCTCACCACAAACCAACTCCGGCCTCCCCCCCAAATCCCTCGCCTCAGAACTCCTAAAAGCCTACTGCAGCCATGACCATCTCTGCTACCCCTTCCTCTCCACCAAATCTCTCTACCGGTCTCTAGACGCCGTGTACGAAGACTCCAGCGCCAAAGATCCCGTCGATGTCTTCTTCGTCGACATGACACTCGCGATTGGCACGGCGCAGGTGCACAAGTTTAACTGGAATGGTGTATATGATGCTGAGACGCATTATAACCGTGCAATGACGAGATTAGCTGATGTGCTGGCGATAGATGGGATTGAGAGGTTGCAGGCGCTGCTGTTGGTGTGTCAGTATAGAATGGGCACGACGTCGAGTAATACCACGACTAGTGTTTGGCATCTCATCGGCGTTGCGGCGAGGACGTGTCTTGAAATGGGGCTTCATCGAGCAGCGACTTATGCGCTTCCGCAGACGTTGGATGATGCAACGAGGAAGGTTAAGGAGGAGGAGATGGAGACGAAACGACGGTGTTTCTGGAGTCTTGCTGCGCTGGATCGCGTGACGAGTCTTGCGCTTGGAAGGCCTTTGGCCCTGCAGCTTGAAGATATAGACGTTGATCTTCCCCCTTCGTCAACGGCTGATCAACTACCCGAAGATAGCAGTCCTCTCTCTTCAGCGCCCTACGGAACACCTCAATACCGCGCTGCGACTTCTGTGTTCGTGCACATTGTTCGCTATCGCCTCATCTGCGGGAAGATCATCAACGCCCTGCATCGCAGCGCCAAACACGTAACGTTCCCGAACACAAGCTACGAGGAGATGCGAACAGCTCTAGCAAGGGAGCTACAAGAGTGGCATACTGAAACAGCGAACCTACCCCTTGTTAAGAGCGACACAGCTGCTTCGCCGGCTAGTGGGTCGAGTTTTCGGTCTGGGGAGTGGTATAGACTCTTATACCATAACGGTATGCTCATGCTCTTTCGGCCGTCCCCGTGTTTGAACGACGCAGCTGTGAATAGCCTCGCGCTACAGAATATTTACGACTCTGCAAGGGAGGCTATAAGTCTCTATGCAAGTCTCCACCGATCGCGAAAGTTGAATTACTCCTGGATAACGATGCATACCGTCTTCCTAGCCGGCCTATCCTACATCTTCGCCCTACGCCATCACTTCTCTGGTTCTGAGCCTCAGCGCGCGAGGTTACACACAACACCCACGATAAACCAAGTCGTCAACGACACGAGGGCTTGTTCAAAAGTGCTGGTAGCTGTTTCGGAGAGATGGGACCTGGCGAGGAATTGCTCGGATTTGTTTGATCGGCTGAGTGATGCGGTGGTAGCTGATGTCGTGGAAGCGAGCGTTGCGGCGCCGGTGCAGTTTTCGGCGGATTTAGCGGGTATGACTGTTGATAGTACGTTTAGGGATTGTTTTGGGGATTTGCAGAGTTTGGGGCTGGATGAGTTCCATAATGATGCTATTTCGCAGTTGAGTCAGGAGTGGTTTTTTGGGTTGGGGGGTGAGAGCCATCCGTATTATTGATAGTCGCCGTGTACTTTATCAAGCTTCTTCCTCTTATCAGATTTATCTTTATAGTGTTGGGTATGAACTGTCTATATTCTTAAATCAGCTCCAAGTTTCTTATGCCATTGGTTAATGAGTGGTTCTCGCTCTTCCAGGCTGGCAGGATTATCTTAAGCTCATAGACTAGATAGTCACATTAATATTTCACAATATAGTTCCCCGAGCATAGCAAAGATGCTCAATTCTGGCTATGGCCTCGGAGGGATCTCACATCAGGTTCCATCTATGTCCTATCATTTGTTGAAATGACGGACTCGGTCGCCGAAGCCGAGATGCCAGGGCCCGTGTAAGTGGATCGCCACTCGGCGCCGTGTCCGCCAATCCACAATCCACCAGATGCAGTCTTATGATAAGTCATGAGAGACTCTCAACACCCTGAATAATCCGAGATATTACACGATTAAGAAATTCTTTATTCCGACGGTCCGCTAGTCGAAGAGTGTTTATCAAGAGCCGCAACCTAGCCTCATCCATCACTCTCAGTTCACTCCAACTTTCACCTCAGCTCATCTTACATATACTTCATATACACATTGAACATCACTTCACTTCACTTCACACAAAATGTTAGACAGACCTCCAATCCGTATCGGCAACGTCTCCGGCGCAACAGGCGACCATCCCCACGCAATGTCCCGCATGGTCCGCTCCGGCAACGTGCACGTCATAACAGGAGACTGGCTCTCCGAGATGAACATCGCCTGGAACGCAATCACCAAGCAAGAAGTAGACCCCAACCTCGGCTACGAGAACGGGTTTTACGAGCAACTCGACGAGTGTCTCGATGATATCATGCAGCGTGACATCCGCGTCGTAACTAACGCTGGGGCATTGAACACTGATGCCCTGTATGATAAAGTCAGAGCGCTCTGTGAGAAGAGGGGGTATGGGGGTTTTGTTGTTGCAAAGGTGCTGGGGGATGATGTTTCGGATGTTGTGAGGAGGAGGGATGTGCAGATTACGCATCTGGATCATCCGGAGCAGACTCTTGACTCTTGGGGTTTTACGCCGTGTTGTGCGACTGCGTATATTGGATGTTGGGGTATTGTCCAAGCGCTTCGTTCTGGTGCTCGTATCGTTATCTGCGGTAGATGCACCGATGCTTCTCCTGTGATGGGCGCCGCGGCGTGGTATCATGGCTGGCGAGAAGACCAGTACGAGGAGTTGGCTGGTTCGCTGCTCGCTGCTCATCTCATCGAGTGCGGTCCTTACGTCGTCGGTGCAAACTTCTCAGGGTTCAAGGACTTTCTGCCTGAGCTTGTGGACATTGCATTCCCCATTGCAGAGATTGATCCAAGAGGACGGTGTACCATTGGAAGAACTGCAGAGGGTGGAGGAAGAGTCACGAAAGAGACTGTCACCGCACAATTACTCTACGAACTTCAGGGTCACTTGTACTTGAATCCCGATGTCGTCGCAGATCTCTCGGGGGTACACGTCGAACAAGAGTCAGAAAACCGCGTCTCCGTCTCAGGAGTAAAAGGGCTCCCTCCACCCCCAACAGCAAAAGTCATGATTGCCGCAAAAGGCGGCTTTCAAGCTGAAGCAACATTCTACATCAACGGTCTCGACGTCTACGAGAAAGCAGCCATGATGAAGAACCAACTAGCACACATGTTTAAAGACTCCAACTTCAGCCGTCTAAGCATCGAGTTATATGGCACTCCAGCTGAGAACCCTACGTCTCAACAAGCAGGCACTGTATCACTCCGTGTCTTCGCGCAAGCTCGTCGAAAAGAAGACATCGAAGCGCCCAAGTTCAAAGTTCCGATATATGCACTCCGCATGCAGAGTTATCCGGGGTACCATATGAATCTTGACTTTAGGACTATGGTGCCCAAGCCATTCATGGAGATGTTTCCAGCGCTCATGCCCGTGTCTGCGATTGAGCATCGCGTCGAGATGAGTACCGGTACATCACATCGTATTGAACCACCAGCAAAAACAGCAAAGTACCCTATTGTACGACCGTCGACAGAAACGCATGGACCGGTTGACATGCTTACTTTCGGACCAACGGAGTGGGCACCATTGGGAAGTGTAGTCCATGCGAGATCAGGCGACAAAGGCGATAATTCGAATGTTGGGTTCTTTGTCAGGAATGACGATGAGTATGCTTGGTTGAGGAACTTGTTGACTGTTTCGAAGCTGAAGCAGTTGTTTGGGGATGATTGGTTCAAGGGGGATCCTGAGAGGAGGGTTGAGAGGGTTGAGTTTCCTGGTGTCAACGCCGTGCACTTGTAAGTTCATGCCCGACGATGGTGAGGTTGAGGTACTGACGTGATACAGTCGTGTTTTGGATAACTTGAATGGAGGGATTGCGTCTTCAGATCGCATTGATGGTCTTGGGAAAGGAATTGGCGAGTATTTGAGGAGTCGATACGTTGATGTACCAAAGGCGTTTCTTGAAAGAGGACGAATTTAGAAGTAACCAAGAGTAGATACGTTCAAGTAAATTTCACCGAGGCTGGTATAGAAGTACACGAGGCCTGATGTTCTTATGTGCTATTCCTTTCTAATTTCTCATCATTCTCGTACAGTGATATCACAACATCTGGCTAGAGATGATCTGAGAGCAGGCCCTCTACAGGCTGAAAGACTAGTCTCGAGACTAATTGTTGAATCATTCTCGACGAACCATTCGTGTCTTGTAGTGAACCATAACTCTCTCATATCCAGCGCGTAAGGCCAGTTCCAAATCCGCATGCTCAAACGCCATTGGTCAATCCCACTCATACAAATCTATGTACTACTTACTATCTAGAAAAGCGCCACTACTACTATTGTTGAATCAGAACTAACATTGTTCGATGTCAACTTTTCACTGACATGCTTTTTCTGTAGATTATATGCATTTTTATCCTCCTAACCTATAGGAAAGCAGCTAATGTCTTCGGTGTAGCAACAACCGAGGTTATCAACTCGGTCTCCGCGATAAAATAACTCGCCAAGCTCGAAGCATGATAAGGAAATTACTCTTTGTTGAGACTGGGCTCAAGAGACGCGTGCCAAGTAAACACACTACTGAAAGGACCTTAAATATGCATCAAGAAATATGGTAATATATGCACTTTATAAGCTCCAACTTAGAGGTCACACACCAATTGGGAACAATTTGGACTTTACAATATATTCAAGACCGCGAGAGTTCATGTTACACGTACAATCTCCTTCTGCTATTTCAATCATCATCCTCTGTCTTCTTCTGTTCTGTCTTAACTCGTCTTCCTTTTCTTCCTTCGACGTCGCCGCCAAACCCCTGCCTCTCAGAACGCCTTAAGATCCGCGCTGTTCCGGGTCGTCAAGTATATATATTCGAGTGCATGGTGGGTGTGTCTCTTTGTCTTTTTTCAGAATGTGTGTATTGTGTGCGTGTTATGTCCAATCGGCTCCCGCTTTACATACGGGAAAAGACAAACGAAAAAAAAATTGGTGATTTCGCATGGTTTGTTTTGGGAGGGGGATATCACAAAAGATGCTTCATTTAAACAGTCTCGAGCTTGTCGAGGATGGCCTTGGTGAACTCGTGGGTGGTGGAGGAGCCGCCCATGTCGGGGGTGCGGACCTTGCTGTGGGATTGTTAGCACTGCACTTGTACTTGAATGAATCGTAAAGAACTTACCCCTCAGCGATAACAGCGTAGGTGGCCTTGGAGATGCGGTTAGCATGCTCGTCGAGGCCGAGGTGTCGCAGCAGCATGCTGCCGGACAGGAGCATAGCAGTGGGGTTAGCCTGGTCCTTGCCCTTGATGTCAAGACCAACGTGACGGCAACCAGGCTCGAAAACAGCGACTTCACGGCCCATGTTGCAACCAGGGACGATACCAGGGCCACCAACGAGAGCGGCACCAATGTTGGACAGGATACCACCGTAAAGGTTAGGCATGACCATGACGTCGAACTGCTGAGGTCGAGAAACAGCCTGCATGGAGGCGTTGTCGACAATCATGTCGTTGACCTCGAGGGTAGGGTAGTCCTTGGCGACCTGGTGGAAGGTGCTGCGGAAAAGACCATCGGCAAGCTTCATGATGTTGGCCTTGTGAATGCAAGTAACCTTGGATCGGCCGTTGGCGAGAGCGAAAGAGAAGGCAAACTTGGCGATACGCTCGGACTTGGCGCGGGTGATGATCTTGAGGGACTCGACGACACCGTCGACGCTCTGGTGCTCGAGACCAGAGTACTCACCCTCGGTGTTCTCTCGGATGATGCACAGGTCGACGTCCTTGTGGCGGGTCTCGTAGCCGGGGATGTTCTTGATCAAGCTGATGCTGGCGTAGATATCGAGCTCCTGTCGCATGGCGACGTTGAAGCTCTGATGGCCGGATCGGCTGATGGGGGTGTGAAGGATACCCTTGAGACCAAGCTTGTTGCGCTTAAGAGAAGCGACAGACTCGCGGAAAGCATCCTCGGTTCGGCCAGAGCCCTCGAGACCGGAGACCTCGATCTGCTCCCACTCAACGGGGACGTTGTCGGCCTTGAAGACGGTCTTGACGGACTCGGCAACCTCGGTACCGATACCGTCACCGGGGATGAGGGTGACGGTGTACTTGCCGCCGAACTTGGCGGGCTTGAAGATGTCGGACTGGACGGTGGCGAAGGATCGGGCGAGCTGGGGTTGTTGCTTGGCGACGCCGCGCAGCAGCTGACAAGAATTGTTAGCAACAGGATCAATTGAATAGTCAAGAGTACGTATGATCAATCTGAGCCATTTGCGCGATGTGGTGTTTGTCCCACAGCAATGTCCCCCCACGCAAAACTCCAATTCTCGCTTGTTGTGATGTCGCGATGATGATCATGACATGATGCCCATCGTCACGCACACTTCAGCCACGAAAGCCCACTGCATGTATACAATTCTCCTCATGTACCACAAACACCACAAAAGATCATCATGACACAGAAACAAAACAAAAGCAACAACAGCACAGAAAAACGTACCTGGGCCGATCGAAGAGATCCTCGAGACAACATGATGGCAAGTGGGGGGTATCTAGAAGGTAGAGAGGAGAGCTTTCGTGGGGTTAGAGAGAGATATATAAAAAACGAGGCACCGCACACGAGAGGAGGAGAGAGGAGGAAGAAGAAAAGAGGAAGAAGATTTGTTTTTTTACAAGTTGAGGTTGGAGGAGGGTGCAAGTGCAAATCGCGCAAGCCTGTTTCCGTTCCCGTCGGGTAGCTCTGAGAGTCAAGACCAGTTGCAAGGTTCCCTTCTGAATTATGGTGTCGCATTGGCCCGAGCCTCTATAATTTTTTTCTACCACTGTTTTTCATTCGGCCGCCGATCGGAAAACGCGATTGTTCCGAGCTTGTCACTGGCCCGAGTGGAGCAGCGCAAGAAAACTTAGGACATCTATCCTAAGCGATGAAATTATTTATGCAACTCTAGCCTAAATTTAGGGTCATTTTAGTCAATTTATTTTAGGATCTTCTTTCAAGCCTCAGGCTTTTTGCTCTCTGAAGTTGCTTGGGGTAGCCTGTGGGGTTTTGTACGGCGCGGCCGCTAGAATTTACGGCTTCTCTGGGCTTAGCCGCTTAGGCTGTGGATGCAAACGACGTCACGGAAACAGAACAGAATTGGAGATCAACAATAGCATTCAATTGAGTTGATCCGGCCATCTTTATATGCAATTTATCCGGCTAGCTTCTATGTTTACATGAATACACTCGCTCTCATGATGTTGAGCTCTCCCAATGCATTGCAGACATATCATGACGACCATGACATAACGAGCTCTATTCCCCATGTGGAGCTTTTTATGCGGGCCGAGCAAATTCTTGGCGAGGTATCAGACTTTGGTTGCTACTCGGACTTCGTACTTACGAAACGCTTATAGGTAGAATACTCCGAACCTGGCATCAAGAATAGGAAGCACTTGGTATAGTTAGTCCAACTGTATTTTAACCTCAATGGCTTGCATACTGGGTTTTGTTATGCTTTAAGAAGAGTATCAATTGTCTCTTCTGATGCCCTACGTTATACAATATCCATAATCCCTCAATGCAATGAATGAAGAACAATCCCCAGGTTACTCTTCAGCCCCAACCATCAAACCATCACTGTTGCAATGAGGGAATTGAAGCATAATACCCATGTTATCATGCGTTCTTGAGGATCATGCACTCAAAAACTGCATTACTCCCGCAACCCCTTGTTGACTTTGACAACCTCTCATGCAGCAACAAACATCGCTGGATTCTATCTCAAAATCACAACAGACTGACGTTTATGTTATACCAGCGATTCTCAGCTATGCCCTATCCCTTTGTACCCATCATGCTAACCTATTCCGTCCTTTTATCATCAACCCGCCAGACGGGCTCATAATGCTCATAACATGCCGTATACAATGTCAAACCCAAACTCCAAAACACTCTTCAGCGCTTCTCAATCACTAGCTCATCACACATCATGAAGCGGGTACTTCCTCATCCTCATCCAGAGGCTCGACTCTCACCAGGATCTCCTCCAGAAGCCCCTCGAGAAAACTGCCAACCTCCCTGCCCATGCCAACAGGTTCAGCCTTGTCATAATGATCAATCTCTTTGCAGACATGTGCCAGCTTATAAACCAGTTTTCGTAACTTTTCGTGAGAAGCCTCGGCGCGTTGTTGTTGGGGTGTCAGTAGAGCTGGATTCTGTCCTGGCTTATACATCTGCTGCAAGTTGATCTGTCGCCTCTTAAGCGCCTCCTCCAGGGCTGGGAATATGACATCGTTCAGTGCATCCAATTCACCGTTAGGATTAGCTGGCGCAGGTGTAGGGAAAGCTGACGGCGTGTTGAACTCGGATGGACTGGGTGACTGAGCCTTCGATGGAAGAGGTCGAGGGCCCTGAGCACCTCCTGGAAGGGGCGTGTGAACTTGAGGCACAGAAGTGTGCTGTAATGAAGGAACCCTTTGCTGCGTAGGAGCTTGGTTTGGCCTATATGGAGGTATCTCAGGTAGACTCATCTGCTTGGTAGTTGTTGGTCGTTGCTGATGAGCCGGAGGAGCAGGTGGTAACGTCCACTGTGGTGGCTGGACCTGCTGAATCTGCGGACTGGCTTTCCTCTCAGTCTGTGGCTCATAATCCAGATTTAGCATGCCAATATCGCGCTGTAGTTGGCTTTGTAGCTCCCGGTCATAATCTGGAGACTCCTGTATTATTGCAGGGGGGTTTATTCTCAATGGGCGAGGAGTCTCGGCGTTATCCCTTGGAGGAGGGAGCTTCAGGGGAGTCTGGGGTAGTGCCCTCGTAGGTGATGGGAGTGGTTGCTGGTATTGAGATTGAGGAACAGCCTTTCGTTGGGGGCTAGCCTGCCTTGAGCCTGGGTTGGCCTTGACGGTCTCAAGGGGTTGAAGGGCGAAGTCCCTTGACTTGGTAGGGCTTGCGTCTCGTCGTTGCTCGCCATAGTCTTCCTCGCTCTCTAGTGGTCTAGAAGCGCGTGCGTTTGTTGCGTTCTCATCCAGTTGGTTGAGACCTGGTCGATTGACAATGCCGCCCCGCTCACCAACAAGTCTCACCGTGCCGAAATCCCACATATCTTCATCGACTCGCTCCCGTTCCGCGGGAGCTCTACCACTGTTAGCTGAGTCCCAGTTGTCATCATCCTCTCCCTTATGAGTAGCTGCCCAGCGTTGATGCCTCTCAATAAGCTCAGTCAGGTAAGTTGTCCGCTTTGCCCGTCTAATAAACGGGTGCCGCAGCATATCCTTGGCTGTTGGTCGGTCTTTAGGATCTCGCTGAAGACATAACTCAATGAAATCTTTGAATGCCTTGGTGAAATTGCCTTCTAATCGTGGTGGAGGGTTCTTTGGAATAAGAAAGAGAACTTTCATAGGATGGATATCGGCATAAGGAGGCTCTCCATTGGCCAATTCGAGAGCTGTAATACCAAGAGACCAAATATCGGCCTTGTGATCATACCCAGATTGCTTAATGACCTCTGGGGCCATCCAAAAAGGTGTTCCGACAAATGTATTTTTCTTGGTCATGGTAGCAGAAAGCTGACCTGACACACCAAAATCGGCGAGCTTGACTTGGCCATTACTGCTGAGAAGCACATTGGCAGCTACAAACAATTAGCGGCGTCAGGGGTGAGGATGACATCCGTACCTTTGACATCTCGATGTAGCTTCTTGTCTGTGTGGAGATAATCCAAACCCAAGAGCAACTCACGCACAATGATGGCGATGTAGTCCTCTCCAATCAGTCCCGGCTTCATCAAGTCGGCACAGCTTCCTCCCGAACAAAACTCCATTACGATCCATAGCTCGGCACCTTTCGCATAGGATCCATAGTACTTGGTGACATATGGTGATTGTAGCTCGGACAAAATGGCGATTTCTTGGATAATATCCTCGACCTCGTCTTCAGCACTCTCAATGTCAATAACCTTGATCGCTACAGCTTGGCCCGTTCGTTTATCAACTCTGAATTCGTTAGTAAATTTCGGCTGCCGTGGATCATATCATCGTCGCCGTACCCTTTGTAAACTTTGCCAAAACTGCCACCACCTGCGCCATGTCAGTACGTTTACGCCCAAGTGCCCAATCTGGTGTCGCACGACACGAGACCACGTCAGGACTAACCAATGCAGTATTCCTTGGAGTAGAGAAGCTCCGGGTCAAGCGCTTCATTCGCGTCATCAACCTCATGCTCACGATCTGCCATTGTGTAGGTTCGTGGGGAAGCTTATGTTTTCGGGTAGCTAACGGTGTTTGCCCCGCGGCTGAATGACGGTATCGCTGCGAATTCGCCGACTTCTATTGACTTGAAGCAGTATCAATCGATCGGCAATCGCTTCAGGGCCTCTTCTTCGGGCCAACAGTTTCGCAACGGCGCGTGATGTCGAAATGAGTCCGCTTCCAGTACGGATATCGTAGTTTGGCGGTGTCGATTAACAGAGCAGCAACCCCACTACTAAGAAAATCGTAGTCTTATTTCGAACCGGGTTGGTGGTAAATATCTGTTTCGGTTGTCGCGACTTGTTTTATTTTTTTTCTTCACAGAAGAGAAGTAGTGAGCACTAAATGGAAAGAAGAAGAAAAAGCAAAGAAGGGAGGGAAATAAGAAACAAGCAGGGAGATGATAATGTGCTCATATAAATGCGAGAAAAGAAAAGAGGTTGTCGCACAGCACAGCCAATCTCCGTCCACCTACGCAAGGGAAAGAATCAACACGACATGCAGCCAAAACAAGCAGGCGCAAGCTAATGAGGACGGGTACTTTAGAGAAAAAGAAACACTCCGTACAGTGAGCTAATACCTTCCCACTATGAAACGGAACGGGCTGGTGTATTGGTTGCTGGTCGTTGCTGTTTACCTGAGGTGGGGGTTGTTGAGGGGCAACGGGCTCATGTCCTTGCTTTGCCAATCAATCAATGGCACGCATCAGACCTGAATCGATCTGGCTGACGGCCGTTCCTGGTGCGTGCGACCTTATTAGACTCTACTCTTTTCCCCTGTAAGTGTGTAGTCCACAGGGGGGAGGGGTCGCTGAAATAGGTACTCCCCGCGCTTGATTCCAAGATCTCCAGCTAGGGCTGGTCTGGCCTGGCCTGGCCTCAGCCTCAGTTTTCGACATGGTCTTGAAGCCAATTATCTTCTGCGTTCAATGACGCCCAACTCTAGTGATACGAAACTCATTAAAGGACGCTCAGGTATGACGACTTGATATCAATTCTGCAAGGGTTTATGCTGCTTTATTGGTTCATGTCTTCTCTCTATTGCATGGTGAAACGTATCATTTGATGCTTTGACTTGAATGCATTCAAGGATTGAAATAAGCGGCAAACTATTAGTTCTTGGGGATCAGGAACAAGCTGACGCGATCACACTAGCTTGATAGATGAAATTACATTGCGATTACTTGCATTGGTGTTAAATTAGCCTTGTCATACATGGCCAGGCACAGAATGCGACCATGGCATTTGCGCAATTCCATTGCTTTCAAGTGTCATTTCTCATGCCTGACTTGGATGAGCTGTCTAAAGATAGTAACCTCCCACGCCCTCCTCCATGATAAAGGTAAATCAATTCCGATAGCAATGATGCCAGTGGATTCAGAATCCGCATATTCCACTGGTAGCAGCCAGTCCAATTCACTCCGATGGCTCCGATACTGATCTATCTACAATGTTTGCTGTAATCCCGCATAAAAGGAAATCGTTCAATCAATAACCGGCTCAGTCCTCGATGTACTCAATCATGACTGTCCCTTGCTTCAGACCTGCATCTGCAACGGTCATGTCCAGACTCTCGATGAGATCCTGGCCAGCAGGCATTTTCTTAAGCTCAAATTCGACCCCCTCTTTGCCTTCCAGTGCCTCAGACTTGAGCCATTCATAGATTCTGCGGACTGGATCATTCAGGTTGAATCGCCGAATGATGCGGCCGGTAGAGTGTCGGAATTGAATGCGTGTAGTGGTCGTTGGGTCGGCCTCTGGTTCGGTATGTGGGGTGGTGCTCGAAATTTGCGCCCAAGGACTTTGTTCAACAGGAGCTTCAGGTTCCTTTCCTTTACCCCCCTCGGGGCCAGAATCTTTGGTCAATGCATCGGGATCATGAAGATTGGGTGTTGAAGAGCCTCCGCTTCCTGTAGCGCCTTCCAGGCTGTTCTTCAAAGCCATTTCAAGCATCTCATCCTCAGTCATGCGTTCCACATCCACTCTCTGTGGCTTTCGTGCTGTCGTCTTCGCAACCGGGTTCTTGCTATTGGCCGCGAGACTGTAGCGGTCGAGAAACTCGGCGAGTTCGGCATGGAAGTCTTGCGGGGAAGGGAAAGGTCGTCCGGTCCAAACCTTGACTTGCTCGCCCGTTCGGGGGTCGATGATCGAGACATGTGGGTAGTTATCGGGGTTCTCGTGGGTTTGGTTGGGGAAATAGAATGTCACAAACTCCTCGGCATCCGGGAAGTCCTTGTCATACTGGAGGAAGATAAAGTTCTCCGAGACCAGAGATTTAATAGCTTCGTCCTTCCAAATGTCGCGGTTTAGCGCCTGGCAGTTAAAGTCGTTCATGTCTTGGAGATTAACCAAGATCCACTTCTTGTCTTCCTTGCCTAGGGTGCGGGCGTCATCCCAAGACATGCGAGCCATCAGATCGTAAGGTGGTCGGAACAAATCCTCAAGGCGTCTTGCATGGGCTCCATTCTCGGCTGTCTGAGCTGAGCGGCGTTCGGGGTCGGCCCATATTTGCTGGGAGAATGGTCCTCCAGCACGATTGGCTATATTACTGTATCAGTAGGAGTCCACTACTGGTGGTTAAGACACTTACGTGGATTTGCCCGCCGCCTTTGTCGCAACTCTTCTAGAAAAGCCGCCTCCATTCCATCACCGTGCTCACCACCACCCCATCCGGGTGCCACCAGGGTCTCAGTAGTCCGCGCGATAGGTGCTCGGACATCATCTGGGTCTCCTCCTGATCCAGACCCTTGGTTGCCTTGGTATAGCTCCTCCTGTAATCGCTTTGCCATTGCCATATCTTCTTCTTCCTGGGCTAGAGCTGCCGCTTGAGCTGCAACGGCTCTCTCGTTATCGTCATCATTGTCACTAAAGTCTTCGATTTGCATATCCTGGTCATCGTCACTATCGATGTGGATGACGCCCGCCGAATCTTGTCTGCCAATGTTGCCTCTGGTTGCTGATGTTGTCACGGGCGCAGCGGCTGGCTGGTCGTTTGAAGAAAGGCCGGCTCCCACACCGGAAACCAGATCGGGGTTTTCGTAGAAGAGCCCTATGGCACGCTCAAAGTTGCCCGCAGTCATCTCGAGAAAGCTCCGGGCGACATCGGTGCTTGTGGCCGTAATGGCCATGAAGTTGGAGATGTTGTCGTCCATGGTTGGCGACTCTCCTCGTAGGGTAGGAGTAGTCAGGCTGTCGTGTTTGGCAGAGTTTTATAATATCGAAAAGATCGGGATTGAGCAGAGCTCGGTGTCGAACACGTAGTTGATTGATTTATCAGATATCGTAAGGTTCGGTGTAGCTTGAGCGAGGAGAGTTGATGCCCCGCAATGACAACAGCGGGGAGAGTATCGGCTTAAATAGTCACCGGTCTCAAGCTGATGGTGTGAGCTTGATAGTGAGCTGTTCAGTGCCGTTGTTCTTTCAGCTTGCAGCGGCAACGCGCTTGAAAGAAATCGACCTCGTCGTGGTTGAGATGTGCCCTTTCAACTTGCAAGGCGAAAGTTGAAGGTGAAAGTGAAGCACAGACACCCAAGACAGGCACCCAACCACAGTGACGCAACCGGGTCAGTGGAGCTTAGCGCCTTTTTTCTTGGAGGGGCAAGTGACAAGGGGTGCGGCATTGACGGGCGGAAAATCAATGACGCGACTTCTTCCATATGAAGAGCTTACCCTGGATGAAGGTTGATTTTATGTCCTTCACTGTGATGCATGGTAATAAATGAACTTTTGCCTAGCTTGATTAAAAAACTAATTTATCTCACTAGATATATGTATATTAAATAATAATAGCAACAACAGGCCTCTATTATTGTTGTGTTAGAACGATGAGCTTACCGAGATTTTGTGTTCGCTATGTATCGTATAAAGTATTTAACCTTGGCCAGAGTTCACGCATCTCCCTATATAGAAATGAGCAATACAGCTCACTTCTGATATGTGAATTAAAATTAGAACATAACATTGTATAATGATTTAATTGAAACTCATTTTTTATGTTTTGATAGAAGTTTTTAGCTCCTAACATTATATCTACTAGAAAAGTGACCAGCTTGACAAATGTCAGCTTAGTCATGCAACGTCACGATATGGTTGACTGGAGACAATATCGCCCGGCAGCACCTACCTGAGGTTATTCGTCACCGAGCTGCCTGTGCCTTCTCTTACAAAGCAAAACAAGTCGCAAATCACCCCCTGAACGCGTTTTTACACCTTCAATAGTTTTTATGATCAAAATACAGCGATTCTCTGAGCTTGAATAAGATCAAGTTCGAGATACACAACAGCCCCTCAATCATGGCGACGGCAACAACGAAAGAGAGGGAACTGCAGTTGCTTGATACCGTCGAGCTCAAGATCCTAAACGTCGCCAACAAGGAACATAAGTTGCACGAACTCTTACAACGTTATTTGCCGCCAGTCATCCTCAAGGCGGCTAGTGAACATGCTCAAGTTCGAGCTAAGGTGGTCCAAATATTCTCCAAACTGAAGACCTTTATCCAACCCCCAGAGTAAGTCAGATCCCAGGTTGAAACAAGACTTGAGACCCCCAAATTTGGTGCGAAAATTCCTACCTCAGGCAGTCGGAGAGTCGGCTAGGCTCATAAAGAAATTACCCTGAAGTCACCAAACATTTCTGCCACGTAGGCGAGTTCGGGATCATCAAGGTTGATTTACTGTCGGACTCTCATGTTTCTTGGAATTTTAGAGCCGGATCAGTCCGCGAAATCGATATAAGACTAACACGAACACAGGGTAGTTCTTCCTGTAGGCGCGCTGCTTGATCAATACAAGTCCAGTGACTCCCCGTTAGTCAAGCAACTCGATATCTCAGGGATACAACATAGCATAGAGCGCCTGGATGACTATGAACGAAGGCAGCTTATACCTAAAGCTTTGTCAGGATTCGCCAAGGACCAAGGTGTTGCCCGAGCTGGGCCATTCTTCAACATCATTCTACGTCTCCTCCTTGATGCCCGGATACCTCCAAGAGGCAGCAAAGATGATACCGAGTACCGAGAAGCAATCGGATTGTCAGATGAGGCTGATGCAAAGTTCCTTGCCAGCATGATCAGCATTTTTCTACGACTACGAAACCCTACGCAAACTCAGAACTGGACCACGGCTAACCTAACACTCACTAAATCTGAGCTCGAATCGCTAGCTGTGGAAAGCCCCGAGTCACAGAAGGTCTTTGAGAGGATGTCAGAGCTGAAGCTCAAGCTCGTTTCATTGCTTGCAAGTGGTGCTTTTACCGACGAGGAAAAGTTCTTGCCCGCGCTTTATGCTGCATCAAGTTTCGATAACAGACTTGTATCTGCGGCCGAAGAAGTATTGAAACGAAGCTCCGTATCTATGGAAGACGAGGCACTGGTCAAGCGTCTGTTTCTTGCTCACTCAATACTGCCGCCCACATACCGGACTCGAATTCTGAACATGCTCTCCAAATCCTCCATCTCGGCAACAATGTCGGATGATATCATCGCTGTAGTCAGACTCAACTTCTCCACGCCAGATCAAGCTTCAAGCGAATTGGCACAAAACCTGCTCCCCAAGAGTGCACTCGAACAAACAAAACTCCATACGGCGACATTCCAGTACCTTGCCTGGGTAGCACGCGTTGGGCCCTCGCAGGAAGGATTCGACATTGCTGTTCCTCTTCTGTATGAGCTATCCGTTTTTATAGAGGCTCAGGGCTGGCCTCGTCCGCAGCGAACGTCTCACGACGATATTGCACTACGATCGAAAGCTTACGAAACGATGGGAGTGTTGGCGAGAAGTGCGAATATGCCAATTGGGAGGCGTCTACAACTCGCGGGCTGGCTTTTTAAGTCATTGTCAGAGGATACGACTTCCGATGCTGTTGTGAACATAGATGGGGCTCTGTCCAGTCTAACCACAAACATTCCGGCGATGACGGGCAGTGAGTCTCAAGAGTTGAAGACAATGCTGCTAACGTTCATGTCTCTCGCCGATGAGCCCCCTGCTGTTAGAAGCACTCGACACGCTGTGGTCAAGTGGGCCAACCAATGCCTCGCCTTTTCTGATGTTTTGGCACGCTGGATTGACATTCTGGCCGTTGGTGCCTACGAAGACGAGAGAAGTGATGTTATTGAGCAGGGCCACAAAGGTCTTGACCCTTGGACCTATCACGCACACGCCGAAACCAGCCTGAAATTGCCTGACTGGAAGGAAATGACAGTCATGTTCTTTGGGTCTGAAATCAGCCAAGATACCATTCCGGAGGCCGCTGCTGCCCCTCTTCCAGATGTGACAGAACAATCGCACTCGGTGTTCGAAAACTTTCAAGGATCTCGTATAGCTGCTTTCCCGGTTGCCCTGAGATATTGCAAGCACATGATGTTCCTCACAGCTCTCGAAGACTTCGAAGTGGAGCCTGACTGGATGCAAACTCTAGATGCACGAGTCAAAACGGATATCAAGACGAGAGAGAAGATTCTGGCATATCTACACAGGATTGATAGCGGATACATAATCTTCTATCTGAAGGCATGCCTCGATGGAGCCTACCTCAAAGACTCACCGATCACGGAAGAATGCATCCGTTGCTTTGTAGATGTGGCATCCCTCAGTCCCGGTGGGGCACTGGGATTCTTGACCGAATTTAGCGATGGTCTTTTCCAGCTGATCAAGTCGAACAATAAGGAAATCCGGTCACTGACTGCTCGTGCCCTCGGAATTCTGGTATCGCATCTCGCGAATGACAGCTCTGTAATAGACAACTGTCGCAAGACTCTGAGTGCACTATTTGAGAACGCCGAGAAGTTGGTTGGGCCTGAACTCAACGCTGCTGAGGGAGGATTACTGGCCTATAGTTACGTCTGCTCTCGGAGCGTTTACTACGGGCGACCCATTCCCGACGATGTTCACTATCCCATTGAGTTCATCACCAGCGAGAAAGTTGCGTCGTCACTCCACGACACAGCCCTGGAGGCTTTTGCACAGCTGTGGACCGCCGGACTCGCTATCCCAGAACGCGAAGGCGATCACTCCCTGGACAAGGTTATCAGTAAGCTCGTCGCCCCAGCAAAGAAGGGCAACGAGAAGGCAATTCTTGCTCTGGGAAGACTGGCGGCCGGGCTGAGTGAAAGTGAAGAAGCCGAGAATGAGAGTGAAGATGGGTGGTCGCATGGAATCCTGGGTAGCATCCTCAAGGAGCTTTTCGCCCTACATGAGATCAAGCAAGTCGAGGTGCAATTCACTGTGGGAGATGCTATCACCGCAACTCTGGCACGATGGGAATCCGATTATGTAAAGCTGACCCTGGATGTCGAGTCTCGCGGTTGTCTTCAGAAGCGTAATGGATCCCGTGGCCCGCTTCTCACAGCCGTCCTTAACAAGATCTTCGCGGACTGCAAAGCCACCAAGCCATCACTGCTGAAAGCGTCCGGCATCTGGCTTTTCTGCGTCGTTCAATATTGTTCACACCTGGAAGAGGTTCAGTCGAGGCTCCGAGAGACTCAAGCTGCATTTATGAGACTTCTTAGCGCACGCGACGAGCTTGTACAAGAGACTGCCTCGCGCGGTTTGTCTTTGGTATACGAGCGTGGCGACGCTGATCTCAAGAGCGCTCTGGTCAAAGATCTGGTGTCTGCTTTTACCGGCAATAGCACCCAACTCAAAGTGGACCAAGAAACAGAGCTGTTTGAGCCCGGTGCTCTGCCAACTGGAGAGGGCAGTTCCATCACTTCATACAAGGACATTGTCAACCTGGCCAATGAAGTTGGTGATCAAAGGCTTGTCTACAAATTTATGTCACTTGCTGCGAATGCTGCTACCTGGTCGACTCGATCCGCCTTTGGTCGATTTGGACTTAGCAACATTCTCTCAGAGTCTGAAGTTGACCCAAAGCTCTATCCAAAGCTTTACCGTTACCGATTTGACCCCAATCTAAACGTGCAGCGATCCATGGACGACATTTGGAAGGCGCTAGTCAAAGATTCGGGCGCAGTTCTTGGCACTCACTTTGATGCGATCCTGGACGACTTGCTTAAGAGTATCTTGGGCCGAGAGTGGCGCATGCGAGAAGCAAGCTGTGCTGCTATCTCAGAGCTCATCCAAGGCCAACCATTCAACAAGTATGAGAAGCGATATCGCGATATTTGGACATCGGCATTAAAGGTTCTTGATGATG